ATGAGTTTGAAAATCCTAATGATATGTGGCACGCTTGGAAAACTACATTCAACTCTGTTGTAGAAAAACATGCTCCGTTACGCACAAAACGTGTCAAAGCTTTCAAATCACCTTGGATTACGCCTTATTTAAAAGCCAAAATGCATGAAAGAGATATTCAAAAGATTAAAGCAGTTCGTTCCAACAATCCTTTCGATTGATCGAAAAAAATGCGTAATGCTGTAAATCAAGAAATCTTTAAAGCTAAAGAAAGCTACTTCAAAAACGCATTTTGTGAAAATAAATACAATCCAAAAAAGACCTGGAATATCATCAATGAACTTACATCTAGGAATCAAAAACGTTCTCATATTAATGAAATTGATCTGAATGGAGACATTATTAACGATTCTAATGAAATTGCTGATGCTTTTAATGAACATTTTTCTAATATTGGACCTAAACTTGCCGATAAAATATGCTCTAGTGAAAAGAACCGGTCATATATCGATTTTTTACCGTCCCAAAATGATAATGTCTCTTTCCATCTTAAAGAAACTAATCAGTCATTGGTTTTCACGCTCTTATCCAGGTTGAGTAGATCAAAAGCAACAGGCTTGGATAAAATATCTTCTAGATTACTTCGAGAATGCCCAGATTTAATCGCGGAGTCGCTTACTCTTATTTTTAATCGTTCCATTACTACAGGTATATTTCCGAATGAGTGGAAATGTGCTAAAGTCGTTCCCATACACAAACAAGGAAAACGGAACTGTGTCGATAACTATAGACCGATTTCGATTGTACCTGTCATTGCCAAGGTTTTCGAAAGGATTATATATGATCAATTGCAACTTTATCTATCTCAAAATAAATTGCTAACTAATTGCCAGTCAGGTTTTCGTGGTCTACATTCAACTGTTACTGCTCTTCTTGAAGCCACCAATGAATGGGCCTACAACATTGACCATGGAAATGTCAATGCTGTTATGTTCCTTGACCTCAAGAAAGCTTTTGATACTATAGATCATGAAATTCTGCTAGGTAAACTGAATGCATACGGCATTAATGGAATTGCTGGTAATTGGTTTAGATCTTACCTTAATGGGCGGGAACAAAAGTGTTTTCTTAATGGTCATCTTTCGACTAGTCGTTTGCTTCGTTGCGGAGTACCGCAGGGCACTATATTAGGGCCAATTTTGTTTCTAATTTACATCAATGATCTACCAAACTGCCTTTCACATTCTCGGGCTCGGATGTTTGCTGATGATACCAGCTTGACTTATGCAAGTAATAATATTGATGACATTAATCATTGTTTTAACGAAGATCTTGCTAGTGTCAGTGAATGGCTCTCAGCGAACAGACTTACTTTAAATCAATCTAAAACCGAATTCATGTTAATCGGATCCTATCAAAGAATCGGTACATTTCAATCATCTCCTTCATTGGTGATTGATAATGTTCCAATTAGACAAGTCACTTTCACAAAATCTCTTTGTACATATATTGATGAAAATATGTCTTGGAAGATTCATATTAGAAAACTGTGCAAAAAAGTTGCCTCAGGTATAGGTGCTCTAAAACGTATAAGGCCTTTTGTTCCTCACTCCACACTGCGACTAATATACAACTGTTTAGTTCAACCCTACTTCGACTATTGCTCTGAGGTGTGGGATACTTGCGGTAGCACTCTCGCAGATAAACTACAAAAATTACAAAATCGAGCCGCCAGAGTTCTGACGTTTTCCAGCCATGATACAAACGCAGAATATCTGTTCGAAAAACCTGGCTGGAAAAGTGTCGCATCTCAGCGCAAAATTGCCAAAGCTACTATGGTATATAAATCGCTAAAATGGTCCTGCACAAGATTATCTTTCTAGAATGTTTATTGATCGCAGTAGAATAACAAATTTCACGTTGAGAGACACCAATCGCAAATTAGCAGTACCGCAACCACGTACAAATTATTTGAAAAATAGCTTTAGCTATAGTGGTGCGGTGCTATGGAATTCTCTACCTAATGAACTACGACATGTTAATTCTTTGCGTAGATTCAGATCTGAATGCAACAGTTTTATTCGATAATTCCTTTTTATCTTAATTAAATTCACGGCACTAATGAAAAACAGGTATCTTACTTGTATCATAACTTGTATATGTATACGTATGTGTGTTCGTTTTTCTTGTATTTTACTTCATTGTTCTAAATCCTGATTAGTCTACCGTGATTAAATAAAAGTTTCAGTTCAGTTCAGTTCAGTTCAGTTAAATTTACGGCATTTATTTATTTTATTTTAACACTGTAATAAATCGCTCACTATTTTTTCCATATCTTTTTTATACCTCCGCATCGATAGTCCACAAAATGAAAAATATTTTCTGTTCAGTTTTTCTTGTAAATTTCAAAGTGCTCGAATTTTAAAGTTTATCCATATTCAAAAGTGATTCAAATATTTCCGCATATGAGACTGAAACTGACTAACTATGGTGCTTCAATTTCCGCCATATTTGGATTCTTCACGTTTAGCACCGAAAGTTCTTACTCCTGAAACATATATATGTAGAGACCAGGTTTAGGAAAGTCAGAAGGTAGTATGTGCTACGTTTACCCTGTCTTCCTTGATGATGATATCGGATAGCCAAAGTAAAGAAAAAATAGACCCAAGACACAAAACACGGCAAAAACGGGAAATACAATAATTATGAATCCTATACGAATCATACTATTAAATTTGTCAAGACTAGGTAGAACCTGTTCACATTATTAAAATCGTGCTCCGGGTCAGGTCTAGGCCTGGTCCAGGCTAATTTCTACATTCGGCCCGGGTTTTGTGGCAGGTTTAGGCCTGATCTAGGCCGGATAAACAACGTTCACATATATAGGCTAATACCTGGTCCATGCAAAGCAGGTCAAAGCACGTATAGTGTAAACGCGACTTTAGACATTCGGGGCTTGAAAGGTGTTTTTGAAACGATTCCATCGTCACATTTTATTGACTCGGCGTGAAGAGAAAACACGAAAATATGAATCTATAAACTTTAAAACTATGAATCTCAACTTTTTAAACACGAAAATCGTTCTAGTAAAACTAAATGTCTATTCCTGTTCAAAATGAAAATTTTTTTTTTCTTATTGTCCTATTCAAAAGAAAATCAGCCTGGTTTCTGGTCAACCTAGATCCGCCACTGATATAACAGTTGATTCAACTTGATTGAAATGGGACTAAGGATAAAACATTAGAAACTTTTGGTTGGAATTGCACATGCGTACGCTTTGTCGTTCGTAAAACTTTTTTATGTATTTGTATGTGGTTTTTAACATAACAATCTATTTCAATGTATTTTGCTTCTAAAAAAACAAAACCCAAATATGGGCTTCAATTAACAAACAGCTTTTTTGTTTATAGTTTCTCAAATGATAAAATATTATAATGTTTTTATACCCCTATATATAGCATAAAATTAATTAACATGCCAATTATGTTTCATCCTTTTTAAACAATTCGCTATATACGTACTAATACTAAAAGCATAATGCTTTCCCACGCTATACTAATGAGGTGATACTTACCAGAGAATGTATATTTATTTTCCAAGCAACCTTACTCTAAACCCCATTTAATTTAATGCTATGCTAAAAACGAAGTTTTGCACTTTGTTCAAATTTTAATAGGCAGATAATCACAAATAGCATATTACCTTTGAGAATAGGATATTATAATCTATATTCATAGATCAAATATCGTTTTAAATGCATATGGTTTAATTGCATGTGTATAGTAAAACAATTACCAGCAGACAATAAATTTTATTAGGATATAAGAAAGAACATGCTTCGTAACCACATGTTAAGTTTATTCTTTTTCTGAAGAATAATTATTTATGTTGTTTTCGAATTTTCGGAACATATGTTTCAGTGGAGTATATAGCCAGTATCGCCAATTCGTAATAATTCATATGATAATTCATGTTGTGCTTCTATAAATCTGAGGTGAAAATCAAGGACCCTGTGGAATGCAATGATTATATACTGGGAGTATAAAACAAGAAGACCTTTAGAAATCAAACTATTCTTAATATGATATAAATGCCCTGCCAATTTTCAAATCCCACGGGTTCAGAAACATGCGCAATCGAATAAATTCTAACGCATCGTACGAATTAATACTGCTCTTTAATTTCGCACCGGCGTTGTTGAATGTTGCGCTTTTCACCGGTGGATTTCGATCAAAAACTCTTCTCAAAACGTGTTTTGTACGTATATATGTATTTCTCAGTTACGTCTGAATATAAGCTTATAGTCTGGACGATGAAAATTTTTCTTTACCATGCATTATCGTGCAGGATTTTGCTTTTAGATGTTGTGTCAAATTCCCAGGAGTAAAAAAGGCATTCATGCTTTTGACAAACATATGTATTATATGCACAAAGCTGACGATATTTAACGCATCTAAGGGCTTAGCGTAGTGACGGGGTATTTAAATTATAACAATAGTTAAATTTCTAAGGGTCTTCTTTTTTATACACCTACAATTATACGCGTCTACTGGACTACAATCGAAGAACCATATCCTCGTCAATAAAGATAAATTAAAATAAATCACTATCACCGAATTTTCACAGCATTGCACTTTTTATGTGTTGATTATGGGCATAGCGCATCCGCTATCGAGCAGCAACGTATTGCGGACTAATTGACCAAAATTGTTAGCGATCATGAAACTAGAATATTTGCAAAGACAAAGAAAAATAAAGTATTTGCTCACATTTTAGCAAAATACAATGGGATTGCTAATTCGACGTATGAATGTGATAAGAGTTATTCAATTTCACAAATGGCTTTTTAAAAGTATTTATTTATAATCAGAATAGATTGTTGAATCATTTTTGTTTGATACTACAGTGATTCTTCACTTAACCTAACATATCTGGAAAAACTCAAATTGACACAAAATGTTATATGAATCTAAATCATTGTATTGCATGCAAAAGAAAGTCATATGAAAGATCGAGTCTCACTAGCCACAGCTAGAGTAACACGGGTAGTCTTGCTTCTTGCAAATATCGGGATCCTTACCACAGTACTTATTTATCCAACACCATCCATATTTGGGACAATACTTCCAGCAGTAGTTATAAAACCAACCGGAATGATAAGAGCAACCTGTCAGTTCTGGAAAGAAGATACTTTTGCCCAAGTATGTTTTGATATTTTCCTCATTCATGAATTTGGCCTTGTTGATGACAGATTCTCCACCTGAATAGTATTCAGCCCAATCCACAAGTAAGAAATTCACCGTCTTACCCAAAGTTTTCCTTAACTTGAGGCATTCAAATGCGGCTTCTCCAAGCCACTTGGAACAAATCGTTGCCATTTCCCAAGTACATAAGCCATAACTGCCGAAAGCTGAAAGGTCAATGAAAGTTGTGCTTGTGCTACACTTATCTTTAGCATGTTGTGTTATACCCGAGCAACTTGACGTCACTGGATTCGTACCCCAGGTGGAGGCAATGAGTCCTTTGCTAAGCACTATCCCTTGATCCTTGGAAGGCATATTTTGATACAGGTATTCCGCCACGAGAATAAAGATTCTTTCATTTGATTGAATTGCGTCCTTAAGCTTTGGCCAATAATGATAAGTATTATAAAAGCTATTCATCGCAAGTTTGCCGTGAGCATTTGATGGCCACAATTTCAAGAGTGTATCTTCGATGCTTCGAGCAATCTTTGCCTCGTAACCTTTTTGCACATTGTGGTTAAAGTGGATCAGTGCAACTTCATTTGGATGGGACTGCATCCAGCGGTCAATCTGCTCAAGACCTTTCTTAATAGAACCTGTGTAGCCACAGTCAGCTCCGCAGTGACAATTCAAAGCTTCGCCTTCTTTATCTCCATAGCAGGTATCTACGTCAAAATAACGTATACCATACTCTAACTGTTCGGAGTAGCTCTTGTCATGGTTTCGAATGGAACAGGAAGGTGCTGCTCCACCACTCCCCCAATAGAGAAGACCATCAAATCCGGATCCTGCATTGTGACTGGCAGGATATGTTACTTGATCAATTCGTAGGTCACATAGATCTGGAAGACCATTGCACTTCTTAGCAGCAATTTGCCTTGCCTCAACTTAAAAAAAATAATTCAAAAAATTTTATTGCGTATTTATTCTCATAATTATTGGTGTCCTATATCAGGCATGCATCGCCAATTTTTTTGAAAACGGCGAACAGGAACAGTCTTCATCCTATATTAATTATTCTGTTCACAGCAAGTTATTAGGGGAGATAATTAGCATGACTTAGCTTCCCTTTTTTCCCTACGCAATGCGTACCTATTTTTCATGAAAATAATACGCCTGGCTTATTGTTTTTGAGGTATGTAAGTAGAACATCGTTGATATACATAAGAGGTAAATTAATCCACTCAGCCCATGTCATGCATATATTAATTAAGGTCTAGATTAAACATCACATTTTGGTCCCGTCGAATGCAATTGAAAGAATAGATATTGAAATGATAAATCATTATCGTCTCATTATAACTATCGTTTGAATTGCATTCAAAGCGACCAAAATATGCGATGTATAAACGGGCCTAAGTCGTATTTACCAGTACAGGAATATCACAGCATTTCTTGGGCAACCCTAGTCTAAATCCGTTCATTCCCAATGAAAGAGTTTATTTCTTTCTTGTAGCATGTCCATCTTATACCTTCGCCGAAATACGAATAGCATAGAACAAATCGCAAAGCGTAAAAACTCGGCACATTTTTTTTTTGTCTTATTCATAATCATTAATGCACAAAATGTTCTATAAGAAAGGATAACACATGACAAATTGTTAGTACGGAATTCTCATGCTTCAGCCTTCATGAAATGTTTTTTCGTTAGCTATTTGTTTTTTTGTTAGCTATTGGTAAAAAAATCTCTACTAGCTTGAATTTATTTTTCTTGTCATATCTCAAAACCTAAATCATTTAGTATTAATCGGAAATAAAAAAGAACAGCTTTTAGCTTTACTTCACTCAAATCAATCATTATAAATTATTTCTATACAAATGTATAAAGTATGCTTCAAGGATATTTTAGGCCATCGCACTATATATGCAATTTATATTTTACCCTGCTTGAAGAATCTGTTTCTATAATGCTTTTTTTTATTCAAAGCCATGTTATCCATATTGTTTTTTATTGTTTGATTAACGACTGTAGCGAGCTCATTATATATGAAAGTATTGTAATGAAATCAGTCCATTCGTTATTTGGGGTCTATCATTCATTAATGGTCGTGAGATATATCATGCAATTATTAAGCCATGTCATGTTAATAGGTGTGGTCATGAGATAGATATATCATGCAACTATTAAGCCCATGTCATGTTAATAGGTATGGTCATGAGATATATCATGCAACTATTAAGCCCATGTCATGTTAGTTAAGAGACATTTGCCAGTGAATAGTGGAGGATACAACACAGTGTCTAATCTATGATCTGTCAGAATAATTTGAACAAATTCAATGGCTTGGCTTGCTTTTCAATTACAATAACCTAATAAAAAGAATGGTATTATATTCCCACAGTTCATTCCGCCACACAATAGCCGAGATGAAGAAGAGCTAAGAATGGGGACAAAATAATTTAAGCTCGGCCATGAGGGCGGAACGAGAGGCCATCGCGTCTGAGGGGAGGTTGGTGGGTCGAAAGAAAAAACCCTTCTAAGCCCTGTGTATATACCTTCTTTCCAACGTCGAGAAATGCGAAAAACTCGGCTTTGCTTGCTCTATTTAATTGCTTTGTGCTATCACATGATAGCACACCTCTCTACTAGTCATATGATAAATTTGCCGTCTTGATTCGCCCATTGTATCATTTGTATGGCAGAATTACCTATGGGAATATTATGTAAACTGGCTTCACAGGTCACTGCTGACATACATTAGAGACAAATTAAATCATGTCTACTTGTGGTCGGAAGTTATAACACAAGGGATATATGAAGGGTCATGAAATACTGCATATCATGCAATTATTAAGCCATGTCATGTTAATAGGTATGGTCATGAGATATATCATGCAACTATTAAGCCCATGTCATGTTAATAGGTATGGTCATGAGATATATCATGCAACTATTAAGCCCATGTCATGTTAGTTAAGAGACATTTGCCAGTGAATAGTGGGGGATATAACACAGTGTCTAATCTATGATCTGTCAGAATAATTTGAACAAATTCAATGGCTTGAATATTTATATAATATTCTTATATCATAATTTATATGTCAGGTTGTGAAAATTCTACATATACGTCATGGTATTAAACATGAAAATTATATGTTTCACGCTGCATAAACAATCCGTTATTCGTACTAATACTAAAAACAATACAGGTTCGTAACTAAAACGATAATGTGGGAGGGGATGAACATTCATAATTATATTCAATTCTGCTCGACCGAGTTCTGTTGTAAACAATTGCACTTACAAAAGAAATCCGTAGGGAAGAACTGGATAAATGAATATTCATTCCCCCCTCAATTATCGTTTTAGTTACGCCACTGTAGCAATTTGATCTATATTGTTTGTTGCCAGTGCTGGTTAGCCATGTGTAGGCAGGTCATAATATGAAATATTGCAATCTCTTACAAAGGAATGAAATAAATGAGTTCGATCTTTTGGATCTATCAATCACAATCGTTGCTGCTTGAGATACATTATTTGCGAAATTATTTTGTCTGTTAACATATTAAAACTTTCTTTAACCCTTCCTCTTAACGATCTTTCATGGCCACTGCATGGATCTACGTGGCAACTCCACCTATATTTAATAGTGTTTATATATTATGCTGCCATTTAGAGATAATTAGAATCATGCACTTAGCTTCCGGTTATACGCAATGCGTACCTGTTTTTCATGAGAATAATATACCTGGCATAGTTGCTTTGAGGAATGTAAACTTCACAGGCCACTGCTGACGTATATAAGAGGCAAAGTAATCCATAACTACCTTGCCCATGCTAATGCTACTGCTAATGAAGTGATACTTAATGCTAATGCTAATGATGTGCTTCTCATGCTAATGAGGTGATACTTACCAGAGAATGTACATTTATTTTCCCAGCAACTTCATTCTAAACCTGATTTATTGAACCACTACTACTATCAATGCAACGCAACCGTTTGTTCAGTTTATAGACAAAATAATTAGAAATTCCCGTCGCTGCGTGCTCACTCGTTATTATATACACAAGAAAAAGAATGTTGAAATCGCAAAGCGTAAAATTTCTTTACAACATTTTATACAATGCATAATATAACAACCATTAACATCAGACAATTTATTAGAATATAAGAGAGAACCTCGGCAAACAACATGTTGAGTTTACAGGAATAATGTTGTTTTCGGAGCGTATATGTTGTGCATTACTAATTCAAGGTCTGAAATCGATTATCTTCACAATCTGTTAATACCAATACATAAATATGCCTCCCCCCTAAATTATCGATGCGATGCTTTTCCATATTAGCTGCATGTACGTACCTATGTTACTTTTCCGCACTAGACTCTCCCGATGACTTACGGCGTTTGCCGAGGACAAGACCACACACCACAATGTTGATACAATAAAACCAAATCCCATCGCGTTCTTTTGCATCAAATTATTTTCTTCGTTTTCGTAAAGCCAGGGAAAAAAGTTCGATTTATCACACAGGAGTATCGAAACAGACTATCTGCAATTGTTAACAGAATAAGGTAATACAAAAGTCTTTAACCACTCTTAGAACTACAAACTTGTCACGACATTTCCGTCTGCTGTTAGGAATACAATAAATGCTTATTAAGTTTGATAGATGTGGTTTCGGACAATTAAAGTTTCACTGTCTTTATTGCCAGCAAAATATTCTGTTCCGGTAGAAATTAGGTATAATTATATAGTGACTAAACGGGGCTATATACAGTAGCATTGGAACCACAATTCGTAATAAATATATAATTTATATATATATATATATATATATATATATATATATATATATATATATATATATATTCAACCCGAAACACCAGCCCAGTTAACTGTATAAATCAATACTTCCTTAAATATAATTAAATCTTCTATCAGCGGTATATTTTTCACTCTTTCGCGGCGACTACTTGTGTTTAAGTTTGCATGTTTATAGGAATCACTATATTAACGTAAAACTACTGGTTGCTGCATAACAAAATTTCCGTAAATTCGAGAAAATATACTCACATCGTCTTTTAGGAACTTCTCTTTCAATCTTCTAGTTAGCGAAGTAGGACATAAGTCGTAAATGCTATAACGAGTCTTATATATAATACGCTGTTTAAAATCACATGACCTCGGGACGCAACAGACCAATACAAATCAAGGCTACCATATTTCCGTTTTTCTGTATGCCTTTAGGCTGTAAACAAAAAGTTGCGTGTGAAAATGTTATTAGCCATATCCAATTTTATTCCAAATTACAGGTTGAAATTACAAATGTATACGTGAGCAAGCGAGCATCCTTAAATTAATGAAGACTTGGCGAGAAAATTTTGCTGCGTTCAAAGGAAATTGGAATAAGGTTACCGAGCAAAGAAAGATATATGCCAAATATCTCTTAACTAACATGACATGGGCTTAATAATTGCATGATATTTCTCATGACCGTAGCCATTGTGTTATAACTTCCGACCACAAGTAGACATGTGCCTCTAATGTATGTCAGCAGTGACCTGTGAAGTTTACATACATCAAAACAATATATATTCCAGGTATATTATGCTCTTAAAAATCAGTAGCGTAACCAGCTTCGATTATTGGGGGGGGGGGCATATTCATATATTCATGTAAACAGACTGAAAAGACAATTGATTTGAAAAGAAATTAATCCTGCATGCGTATCACGAATATATGAATATGCCCCCCCCCCCCCCAATTATCGTCCTGGCTAGCTTACTGTTAAAAATAGGTACCCATGGTGAGAAATGGATAGCTATGGCTACCTAGCAGCAAATAGAATAATCACACGGGCTGAAATTCGTCAACACGGCATTCAAATTTTAACACTGAGTGATTTCAATAGTTTTGGTTTTTTTTGAGACACCCTGTAGAATGATAGGCTTGAAATGGGGTTATATATAATTTTAGCCGAATCGAATGCTATTTCGTGCACTTCATGATTCGTCTCAGCATAGTTAACATAGGGGGAGCTCTGGTCTCAGCGTCATGCAGACATGAAAGGCTATAATACAGTCGGAGGTCTCTAAATGTACGAAAACAGACAAAACCCGATTGATATTATATTTTTTTTAATATGAATAGAGGAACTCTGCATGTTATTATCAGGCCTGATGCTATCTTACTTAATTGATCTGGCATGAATAAAACTCAAACTTTTCAAATTTATATAGATTTTCAATTCACAAAATTTACTACAATATATATATATATATATATATATATATATATATATATATATATATATATATACACCCATTTGCAAAAACGTTGGCCGCAGATAGATAGATAGGTACTCGAAATCTAATTAGAATTGCATATGTTGTGTAATATGATTGAAATCCCATGAAAATGCAATCATATGCAATTCTAATTAGACTTCGAGTATCTATCTATCTATCTATCTATCTGCGGCCAACGTTTTTGCAAATGGGTGTATATATAAATATATATATATATATATATATATATATATATATATATATATTATATATATAAATATATATAGTATATATATATGAAGATCACTAAAGATCAATCACTGAAGATCTATTCGATAGGGTCATTTCATGGGCAAAATCTTCAACAGAAATCTCTGATGACCACCTTTCAATTATCAAGCACCCGAGGAAATCGCTACTTTTCTACGACGACAAAACGTGGGTAAAACGAAACAACAACTCACTATTCGATGTAACAATGGGCAGCTTTGATGGCGCAGAAATATGTGAACTTGTCGGACTGTATGTGCTGAATAAGCTTTCTAAAATATTTGGCAAAGATAACATCGGATTATATCGAGACGACGGTTTACTGCTGTTAGAAGGCACCGCAGGAAGATCAGCAGATCTGGCAAGGAAAATGCTACACAGCATTTTCAATGACTTGGATTTAAGAATCACAGCCGAAGTAAACAACCACATCGTCAACTTCCTCGATGTCACCCTCAATTTGCAAGAAGAGAGCTATCACCCATACAGAAAGCCAAACAACGACCCTCTTTACATTGACAGCCGCTTCAACCATCCTCCCTCCATCATTAAACAACTTCCGAAATCAGTAAACAAACGAATATCAAGTTTATCATCCGATGAGTCAAGCTTCAACTCAGCCGCGCAATTCTACGAGGATGCTCTCAACTGCAGTAATTATAAAGCCAAACTACATTACACAATCAATAACGCCAAACCCGACCGTTTATCTACCAATAACCGTAAGAGAAAGATCATCTGGTTCAATCCCCCCTTCAGCAAGAACGTGAAGACGAACGTGGCCCACAATTTTCTGCGATTGATTGACAAGCACTTTCCTAAGACGTCGCGTCTCCACAAAATCTTTAATCGTAATACGGTAAAGGTCAGCTACTCCTGCATGAACAACGTAAAAACCTCAATCTCAAACCACAACCACCGTGTGTTACAAAGACGAAACGAACCATCCAGCGAAAGAAACTGCAACTGTCGCGTCAAAGAAGAATGTCCATTATCAGGAAAATGCTTGTCAGAGAGCGTGGTTTACAAAGCTGAAATTATACGCTAACCGACGACGGCGATACGAAAGAATATGTTCGAACATAGGCGTACGAGGCGGGGGGGCTGGGGGGGCTGCAGCCCCCCCAGTTTAGTCAGAAATAGTCGGGCAATTTATATTCACGAGTCGGGCAATTTATACTTAAGTGAATTTGGTCTCCACACTACATAAAAATTTTTAAGAATGCTCAAATATGGTAGAAAATGGTAGAATATATATGCTTGCAGCTTGCGTAAACCCGAATTAAAGAAAACGAAAATAATTGAAATAAACATGCTTTTCCGTTTGTGCCACTGGCTACCCTATGTGCCACAACTGATTGGCGCAGCAAAACTCACCATGTAGTTACGAAACAAATCTATCGTTCTGTAAGTTTGTAACTTTACTAACTTTTATAGCAACTGTGCAAAATTTAATCCGAGATTTAATCGTTGATAGACCTCAGAATCCTGACTTTATTCTGCAAAATCTCACGCGGAAAATGCAGGAAATCACATTTGCAGGTCGCTAATTTTCAAAAATTTTCGGGGGGGCATGCCCCCGGACCCCCCTATATAGTATGCCACACGCTTTCGGCTTTCGCATCTCGGCTCTCCAAAACACTGACTCTGGCTACGCCGCTGCCTAAACTCAGCAAAACGATTTCCCTTTCCGACTACGCGCTTCGCTATGAGTGGAAATCAACTTATCAAATTTCCTAAATAATGTGAAGGCAGTTAAAGTTTCGTCATAGTACCCAAGCAGAAAATTGTATTTCAGCGTTTATACGTTCCAAAATACCGGGGGAGCAGACCTCTGGACCATCCTTGTTTTTTTCGGTCTCGGCGCTCGTCGGGCAGAATATCCCCCGCCCCCCCAAAATTTCTAGGCCCGTACGCCTATGTGTTCGAATGACAGCAGGAAGCTTCAAGAACCGTTTCTCTAACCACAAAAAGTCATTCAACAACGCGCGCTACTCGACAGAAGCGGAACTTTCGAAGTATGTTTGGATATTGAAAGAAAGCAGTAGTAGTAAGTAAAAACTTTATTTGACTACGCTAACCCCTACAGCATACGCTGGTTTCCAAGGGGGGCGTAGGTTAAAAAATGTTACAAATAATTAGCTTACAACAGAGATTACAGATATAAACGAAAAGTTACAATTACACATTACACTTACATCTACTAATTACAAATTATTAATTAACACATATATTACTAAATTAGTTTAGTCTACTGGCCAGGTGTCGCACACTTGAGTTAAATAGATTAAATGATTGTATATTTCTTACTTCATCTGGAAGGCTATTCCACAACTTTGCTCCTCTATAACTAAGACTTTTCTTAAGATATTCTGTCTTAGGTTTAGGCAATTGGAGCTGCGTGGTAGAACCTCGTAGATTATAATGCTGAGAGGAAGGCGTCTTATGAAAAAGATCGGTTAATTGCTTGGGCGCTATTTCATGAGTTATTTTATACATGAGACTTGCTGAAAATTGAATTCTACGTTCTTTCAAAGTAGTCCATTTTAGTTCATTTAACGCAAGTTCAGATTGGCCGTGTTCATTTTTACGACCTGTAATCACTCTAGCAGCCCTATTTTGTAATTTTTGGAGACGATCAGCAAGGGTGGTACCAATAGTATCCCAAACTTCGCAGCAATAGTCAAAGTGTGGTAATATGAGTGCATTATAGGCACTAATTAATGTATTTCGATCCACACAAGACTTAAGCTTTCTGATTGCTCCAATTCCGGATGAGACCTTTTTAGCAATTTTGTCAATATGTTTATCCCATAATAAAAACTCGTCAATCAAGACTCCGAGTGATTTTGTTTCTCTTACTCTTTTAATTGGCACATCGCCAACAAATACATTTGGAGCGGCAGATAGATTATTGACGTTATGCCGTGATCCAATTAATAAGTATTCAGTTTTTATAAGATTTAAGGATAATTTGTTAACAGAGAGCCACCGCTTGACGTTAGCAAGGTCACAATTGATGGCCACTTCTACATCAGAAATTGATTTACCAGAAACAGTTAGGGTCGTATCGTCTGCAAACATTCTTGTTGATGAATACTGCAAACTGTTAGGTAAATCATTTATATATAGATTAGGAATAGAATTAAATATAAATATATATATATATATATATATATATATATATATATATATATATATATATATATATATATATATATATATTTATATATATATATACACTCGGGAATGGGGATGACTCGGGAATAGGGATGATTTGTGGTAGGATATGACACCGAGTGGCAGCCCGCCATGGCAAGCAGAAAATTCTACTTGACCACGGCAGGATTTGAACCCGCGGCCTTCAGGATACTAGTCCGATGCTCTGCCAACTGATCGAGCTACATGGCCAACACGGGTTTTTTGATATTTCGAAACAATATACTATTTTCTTCGATATCGAGAGTTAAAATCACCTATTGAGCTGACAAGCTCTCGATATCGAATAAAATAGTATTGTTTCGAAATATCAAAAAACCCGTGTTGGCCATGTAGCTCAGTTGGCAGAGCATCGGACTAGTATACCGAAGGCCGCGTGTTCAAATCCTGTCGTGTTCAAGTAGAATTTTCTGCTTGCCATGGCGGGCTGCCACTCGGTGTCATATCCTACCACAAATTATATTATATTATATATATTATATAATATATATATATATATATATATATATATATATATATAGTCTAGCTATTATCATTAACCCTTTTCTTGCATTTTATATGTATATATGTCGACCTGAGTAAAATGGATCATATATTGCTTATCATGACCGAATTAAGGGATCCGATTTATCGAGGTGTGCCAAGATCACCGAATCATTCTAATGTGAATAAACATAAGATGGAAGGCTGCCAGACCTTCAATATGGCTTGGCATGAGGTGGGTTAGATGTTAGCTTTGTGTTCACAATTTTACGCGATGCATTTACTCACATTGAAACATCAATTGCTTACAAACTTTGCTGACATTTTTCAAAAAATACGTGGGAAGATGCGACCTCGAAATAGATATAATTATATAATAGCACAGGCAAGACAAGAAAAGCATTTTGCTAGAGAAAATGGATTGACGTTTTTATGCATGTGCAATCGTGATTCTTATTTTAAGAAAAAATATATTTGTTTCAAGCAAAGAATTTCTTGAAGCAACTAAAATTATTCTTGTCAGTATAATTAGAATATCATTCTAGCCAAGAATCTTAGTAAGAATATTATTCTTACCTAGAACTATAATTAGGAAACAATTACTTCAAACAAGATTGATTAAGATAATCATTGTTCTTAAATTTAGCATATTCTGACATTGCAGACCTAAAAATATTTATCATATCACTTGGCGTGTTTCTGTCCTGGAATATTAAATTTTACAACAGTAAGACCCAGCTCGTGTGACCTTAAATAGTCGATGTCCAAAAGATAAAACAAACAAATTAGAGCAAGCACTGCCTCTTGAACGCTCTCCAATTTGACTGTAAAATAATATGATGTTGCCCATATAAACCAAGTATCCACCATTAGCATTGGTACCTTTGTTGAATGCTTCTTGCACAAAACATCAGGGTCTTCATGCTTTTCGTATAAAGAATTTTAGAGACAAATTAATTTAAAGTGGACGATAGCTTGCCAAGGAAAACATAGTTGCATGTACAATAAAATGAAAATCTCTAGAATACTGATTTATTTACCTTTATGGTGCATGTACACCAAATCACAAGACACCCTCTTTCCTTGTTTTGTTTTTGTTGTTGAGTGTCCAAATATTAAATGAATATTCTTCATCAAATTAATGTATAGCTTTGGCAACTATAAGAATATAAATGGTCCATGTTTACATCCATTCTTAGAACATCTTCAATATAAATAAAAAAGTGCAATACCTTTACTTCGTTTCGAAGGATGTCCAATTCTTTGCTTGGAGACCCCAGAATAAATTAAATTGTCGACTTCCTCATCAACTCTCTCAACAAATTCATGCATAAATTGTTCCCGGTTTTCATTTGCTTCCACTCCAATAACTCTCCTCACTTTTTCAATAATCTAGAACATGAAAGTTACTATTTTAGAAACGTTTACATGATTTCCCACATTTACCAACACTCTTCTGCTGCCGCATGGAGTAACGAAAGAAAGAACAGGCTTCACAATATGTGTAGTTGCTCAGTAAAATATTCATGTACAATATGTATGCATTCAATTACCTCAACAAGGTCTTTAAAACATGGATATGTTTCAAACACTTTCCCATGCATGACGTTCTTCTGCGGCCATGTCCAAAATGCGCTTTCGGCCAATTCGGCGTGTTTATTTAGGTACATATTTATGATCTCAGGGGACCGTTTCACTTTGTTCATATCCTTTGCTAAGGCACTGTAATGCCGTATCATTATTGCTTTAGAGTATGTTGATTCAGTAATGCCGTATCATTATTGCTTTAGAGTTTGTTGACTCTGTACTGGATTCTAGTAAATATACACACACATCTATTTTAGTATTCCTCCACCTGACATTTGTAGCATTCATAGGCCTACATAAGCCTCCCAAACAGTACACCTCAGTTCATAAGTTCAAAGGTTAATAAAAAAAGCAATGTGTTAAAAAAATTACAGAATAGATTTGTTCAAACAATCTCACGAAACAAGCACTTTGCAAAATGTTTAAAGGAAATGTAATTCTATAACCCACCACAAATTTCATCTATATTTCTTCCTCAATTTCTTCATTGTTGATAGGCACTGCCGGTGTTGCCTTGGGAGTACTTGTGCGTGTTTGATGATGTTTGAAGCTTGGGGTATTTGGGGTGTCGTTGGCTGCCTTTTTACTCTTGCCCCACGCTTCTTTTCTACTGGCTTCATATTATACAGTTTTTTCTTTAATTGCTTAAAAAAAACACCCTGTAGATATATAAACAATAAACAATGTTTCAGAATTGCATACTCTTTATTAGTTGAATAATTTACTCACAGTGCATTATGCTCTCAGAATTCCATACAATTTATAACAATATCAACAGCATAATATTTGAGTGACAGTATAATAGTAACAATATCGACAATATAATATTTGAGCTTTTTGACTAAAAGACTTGGTTAAACATTGTTAATAAGAAATAGGTATCAGAAATATATTTATATTCCTTTGTCTTTAAGCAAATAGGTGTGATTAATAAAAGTGAGTAATGGCACTTATATGTTTATGCGATTATTGCCATTCATCATTGGCCCTTTGGTTGATCAAGATGATCCATACTACCAATTCCTGCTGGAGCTTATCCATATTGTTCAGTTGGTATTTTCCCTGTTATAAAGATTCACACAATCCATTATTTGAAGCAGATCATTTATATGAGCACCTTTCAAATTTCAAAACGCTGTTTCCCAATTTAAACATATATTGCCGAAACAGTACTATTTGGTTCACCTACCATCAACTATCCAACACCTTGGACCAATGATTCGCTCTGCTTGTTTTAGTTTCCAGTCCGCCCACAGTTACTTCAAAAAGCGGGCTAGGAAGCAGAACTTTAAGAATTTGCCACTGTCTCTTGCGAAGCTGGTAAAGAAGGTGGATGAAGAGAGTTGCGAGTGTCTCCGGAAAAAATGCGATGCTTCCGGATTGCTACCTGGACTAAGTTTAGCTAATGCCTACAAGCTAAGCTGGGTGGAGCTTTATGGAACCAGGTACAAGCAGGGCCGTAACTAGAACGATTATGGGGGGGGTGTTTATTCATATGATTCAGTTGTGCCCGACGGGTTTTTTTTGTAAGTGCAATAGCTTACAAAAGAAGTCCGTCGGGCAAAACTGAATATATGAATAAACACCCCCCCCCCCCCTCCCAATTATCGCTCTAATTACGGTCCTGGGTACAAGAACGCAAGTGCTCTTGGTGTTGATGCCTGTAGAAATCCTATTTAGCCTGTGTTTGGTGCCATATTGTGCATATGGTCAATCAACAGTTACATATATTTCGAACTATAGTTGCTGGAAACTGCTTGTTTTGACAACCTTCACCATGCACAAGTACCAGGTGAGAAAGTATGATGGTAGTGAGAAGTATCGAAACATTTTCTCTTACGGAAGCATTGTGGATTTCAATGTTTTCCGTATTAAGAATGATCAGTATGGCAACCAATATGTATCAGTTAAATATGACTTTGACGATCTCATGGAAGAGTATGTTGAGGAAAGAAATCATCTGATGGCATGAAGGCATATAGTAACACTCTGCAGACTGCAATGATACAAATATTTCGCTCAATTGGAAGAAGACTCGAACTTGTCGTCTGTTTAAGCTAGATTTTTTGCCTTGCTGATACAGAGTAATATAAGCTAATGTTGATTACTTGAGACTAGCCTGCTCGCAGACTGAATTAGGGGGCCGGAAATTAAACGGGGAAAATTCAGTCTGCTGAACTGCGGGCATTTTCGTGTACGGTGACGTAATATGAACTGCATAATAATATGATAATTATTCGAGCGCACCGCATACTAAAATGCAAATGGTGGCCATTGCCAGGAGCGCGCATGGCGTCGAGTAATCGTAATTGCAACTGTATTCTGTGCTCTCGAACGATCGAAAAGCCGCACGAAAGATATTTGGTATCCGGGAAGACAAAATTTAAAGCTAGTGAGGCTCTTCGACAGTTGCCATTTGATGTTTTAGAGACATCAATTTACATTTGTCGACAGTGTCTCGATAAACTACGGAAACGAACCGCTCTTCTTGCTCAAAATAAGCTCATCGTAAGCGAACTTAAAGAGGCATATGAAAAAGGTCAACGCGAAAGGCGACAAGGCTTTGAAGACGAAGAACCGAGCAGCAAACGGCCATGTATAACAGCGCCAAATTTGCCCAGCACATCTCAGACAAAGGCTACGACATCAATTGCCAGTACACGTGAAGTGGTCAGTGAGCTGCCGGAATTGTTAGAAATACCAACTCCCATTTTACATTCAACCCCCGTAAAGTCCAGAGAAACGACAGGAGTTAACGTTATAGCAACGTGGCCAAGTCAAAGCAGGCAGAGGCAGCTGAATCCTGATTTGGAACCATTAGGAAAGATGCTTGTTAGAGGAACATACAAGCAAATTGCCAATGCAGCGTGGAACAATCCAAACTTAAGAAAACATCTTGTCTTCAATGCTTTGAAAGACATTAGAAAAGAATGTGTTGGCTTGTGTTCAAAAAAAAACCCAAGTTGCCTGCGGTCACCCTCAAAGGAGCAGATGCTTAACTTTTCTTTTGATAAGCAAAGAAAAGAATTGGAAGAGAGAGCACCATTGTTTTTCTCTGTTCTAGTAGCTGCTGGTTCAACTAGTACCAAAAAAGAGGAGAAGGCATGGATTCCAGCTGTTGGCATGGCTTCATCTATACTCCTCAGAAACCGTTCACCATATATGAATGCTATTCAGTTGTTGTTAGGAATATTTCTATATCATTCTAACTGGGCGGTAAGTTTAGTACCACATTATTTTATTTATTTAGATCCACCCTATATGGCAATAGATAAAAGTTGACCAGTTTAACCAGGACACATTTCTCTTCTACACTTGTATATTAAAAATTTCTACATTACATTTACAGCCTGTAATGTCACGGTTTTCCAAGTTGAGACTGGTAACATCACCAAACCATCTTTACAAAAAATTGGAAGAATTTGGTGCTGGTCATGATGCAGTGATTAAAGAGATGGTCAGTCAGGATTCCAAATGGTTAGCAAGCCAAGAGAATGCAACAGAATCAATGCAACCCTCTGTTGGGTTTAAACTTACAATTGACAATGTGGACTACAGACAGAATGTTCATTACATGACTGAGGAGCACCAAAACATTGATAAGCATTATGTCTCTGTTAATGCAACCATTAATAGGGTTTCAGCAAACCATTTGAGTCACAAGAGTCCTGTTGGTGGCATCAATGAAATGGAGAATGGGAAGTGTATTCCAAATCACACAGAGCAGAAAGCACAGAGAGATGACTATATTTCTCTTGTCGAGCGTGTAATTGTGGAAAATGTTCCATGCCTTGAATTTGGAAAGGATATTATACAAAAGCATATTCCACATAAATACACTAAGGAAGCATCGCAACCAACAGAATCTGTGAGTGTTATCAACAAATATTCACCTTTTAATCCTATGTTGTATATCATAGTCTAATACAACATACACCACCAGAATGATTTTTGCTCTTCCCCAGGTCCCTACAGCGTGTGAAAAAAATAACATTTTATTTGAATTATAATACTACAGGCATTTCTTGGTGTAATCTACGAGAGTGAGAATGATGCTAATGGGATAAACAAGATATTGCATGATCTTCATAAATATGTCCCATTTACCGGTGAAGGAAAAGACCGAGAATATGCCAACCAACCTATTGTTGGAGATCAACTGACGGTAGAGCGAGCTGTCAATTGTCACATGACCTTGTGCAATGGCTTCACACCAGAAGAGCAGCTAGATGGTCTACACTTTGAAGTGGCAGACTGGCATGCTGGAAACAAAGCTATTGGTGTAAGTTGAATGGTGTTACAGGGACTACTGTATAAACCAGTTAAATCTTATCAGTCAGAATGCTCATTTCATTTTTTTTAAATATGCAACATTGCATTGTAGATACTAGTCAGAGAAGAAGTTAAGGAGAAATAAAGTTTCACTGAAGAATGCTTACCAGAAGGGGAGACATTAGCTCTCCAAGCTTCTTCATATACTGATATTAGCAATATTGTTCCCTTGCCTTACTAGGAAAGAGACTGATAGTATTAGCAATATGTTGTTGGATGGGTTTGAGACATCTTTTCATTCCCCAACCTTTTCTGCAACAAACATATTCAGTTATGTGTTTTATTAATGTTAAATTTTTTATGCAATTATAGGTTGCATTTTCACATTTGTACAGTGCAGCTTCAGCAGGAGACAAGTGCACATTGTACAGCGACCGTAATTTGGTAAACCGCCGCAATGTGAAAAGTGATGTGGACTCCGCTGTATTGGCAGCACGGCGGTTCTTCGCACTTGAGATCGAAGCACGAATTGTAGCAGCTGCAATGACAGAACTAGGCATGGAGGAATTTGATGATACAGCAGATGGAATTCCATTAATGGACAACTGGACTAAAAAAGAAAAGGGAACCTACATCCGTCAGTTATCCTCCAAAATTGTGGACAAATACATTTTGGATGAAGAAAAACACAAAAAGATTGCTGCAGCTGTAGAATGCCTTGAGGAGAAGCATCTACAAAGATTGAAAGACAAGACAGCAGATGGCCGATACAAGTGTCGATTTCCAGGTTGCGGAAAAACTTTTAGCAATGATGGAAAATGGCGAATGATGCATGAACGAGCTCATGACCCTCCCGTTTGCATTGAGGAGCAGCCAATGCTGGTGGAAATTTTTGATGGGGGCGTTGTAGATGATGATATGTACAACTATCAAAGAGCATTGCTGGACTATGGGATGGTAGTGATGAACTTCCTAGATGCTATTTCCGAGGGTGATGGTTCAAGAGTCATACGAAATTGGAAATTTCTTCTTCTTTATTTCCACCATGACAAAGGGAGCCAGAAATATGCACTTGAAGCTCTTTATCTGATGTTTCAGGTGCACGCCCTTCTCAGTCCAAAAGCAGCCCACCATCTTGTGTGGAATAGATTTTCGAAGAGGAAGCATTCTCTCGGAGGAAATATTTCTCTTGACCTCCAACTAGAATTCCTCAATAGGATTTTCAAAGATGTCGTCAAGAAACTGGGTCCAAATGCCAACCCTAGATCCATTAGCAGAATTTGTAATGCTATGAACGTTACAAAAAAGTTGACAGAAAATTTTGACAGTGCTATGGCCCTCTACAAGAGATCAGGAAAGCATGTCCGCAAATCATGTAGTGCTGACTTGAAAAAAATTGTGAATGAACTTTTGTTTCATAAAGCATTTGCAAAAACACCAGGAAGATCGTATGGTGCCTACTCAGGGATCAAACCATCAATTGTGTCAGACTTTAATTTGCAGAGGTTTTATGGTTGGATCAATGACCACAAGAACTATATGATCCTTCATCGAAAGGCCAGATAAAATAATTGGCTGATGTGAACTGCAAACAACAAACAGATATATTGCACAAGGTTGTTGTCACAGTGTTGTTTATACAGTAGCATATTGCATTTCAACCCTTTTTGTATACCAATGATTTACATACCATTTGATGAAGCTTTTGATGTAGTTTCAAACAAGATTCAATAGCTCAACATGAAGTTCTCATATGTTTTATAAGCAAAGCATCTGATTGGTGTGGGAATCAAAGGGCAAATCAATTGCTTAGTTTATTAAACAGTTGGGAATTTCACCCAGAAATATTAAATGTTTTAAAAGTGTGGCCATTGATGATTCATTTTAACCCTTAATTTTACCCAAAATAAGAAACTTGTCAAGGGACCAGCCAAATACCAACAAGCACTTGATAATAGTTATAAATGATTTCACAAAATAATTTAAATGTAAATAGTATGGTGTAAATTGCACTTGATAATAGTTATAAATGATTCCAGAAAATAGTTTAACTGTAAATAGTATGGTTTACAGTGCACTTGGTGTAGTTTTAAATGATTTCACTAAATAGTTCAAATGTAAATAGTTATGGTTTATAGTAAGCAATAGATGTTTAAGATGACATGATATCAAATCATATCATGGTATAGTAGAAAATGTCATTTATTTACTCATAACAGCAAGGTTTTCAAGGAAACTATCATTTCCATCCTCATTTGAATCATATAAGGACTCTGTTTCATCAAAGTCATATTCATGACTATGCCAAAGCTCATGAAGACTGGAGTCATCCTTCAGTTCCTCCCAATCCATTTCAATGTCAGAAATTTCTTCGAACATTGACACATCATGCTCAACTGTAATGTCACCAAATACTTGTGAAATAATATTCAGTACAGCATATGCATGATGTCTTCGCCAAATTTCAACATTTTGTAAAACATCTTCTACTGTAAAAAGTTTGTGGCATGTTTGTAGAATTTGGATAATCTGAAGCCAACCAAACTCCAAAAACACATTAGGTACACCTACAGCTGACGTCATACCAGACATTTCCCTCTCTATTAACTCCTTCTTAAATGTTATAAGGTTTGCTCTTAATTTTTCTTTAGCATTTGCACTTACTGCTCTTGTTGCATACAACTCTCCTGAAAGGCTTGGGGTATCTGTAGTTTCTTGGATAGCAACAAGAGGCACTGTGCTACAATCTGCCAGTCCACATTCACATTTTGCAGCACAAATGTCACAACACATATGCGAAGGGCCATCACTGCTATGACTGTAGCCAAACTCTTCCATTATCATTTTGCGAAGACATACAGAGTCTTCGTTTGATAAAAATGTTGCCATCTTTGCTGAGCAGTAACTTGACAGCAATCCATTGTAAAGAATAATGCAGTTACTGGGTTTTCCATCTCGACCAGCTCTCCCACTTTCTTGTACATACGACTCTAGGGTGCTTGATGGACCAAAGTGAATGACTTTGTGAACACATTTGCAATTTACACCCATGCCAAAAGCGATTGTAGAAATCAAGACACGAATGTGGCCAGCCTCATCTCCAAACTTGTTAATGATGTGTTCTTTCACCACATTTGGGGTGCCTGCATGGTACATTTCAACTAATCTTTTCTCAGGATCTGTGCTACCATGATAAAATTTTTCTTTTAAGTTTAACTGAAACATTCGAAATATTAGTCCACACTGTTTACGGGTTCGACAATATATCAGGGTGCAATCTGTTTTAACCCCATTATGGTAAAGCTCATCAATAAGCCCTGAAAAGACCATCTCAAGAGGCAAATTATTGTTGATATACTGAACACTGTAACACAAGTTCTCACGGTCAGGACTCATTTGTACTGTGTAGGTGCTCTTTTTTGGAAGTTGTAGGGAATTAAATATATATTCTCTTGTTGACTTTGCCGCTGTTGCTGTTAGGACCAAAAACTTTAAATGTGATGGCATCAAAGATCTTAATTCGCCTAAATTACCATACCACTGTCGGAATGGTATGCTTTGTCTACCATGTCCCCCGTCACTTGAACCCCTAAAATGATAAGCAAATATAACAAACGCTAGAAACTAGATTTAAAAAAATAGATATGTAAGCAAAAAGGCTATGACATTGAAACTTACCATTGGGCAATACAATGTGCTTCGTCTACAGCCACTCCAACAAGATTTTTTACAAACAATTTGGAAGAAAATATTGCTCTCCATTTGCTAGTCGAAAGAAGACACTCAGGAGACGCATACACATGCGAGTATCTTCCTTGCATTACAGTTTCTATCACCTTGTCTTTAGAATCGTCCGTAATACAAACAGCAGGTATTCCCAGATTGGTCAAGTAAGCAACCTGTTCTTCCATCAGCGATTTTAAAGGCGAAATCACAACCAATATGCTTGTGCCGTTGTCCTTTGGCTTTATGACATCAGCAATCAATGGAACAGCTTGAAATACCAAAGATTTTCCAAACGAAGTAGGCAGGTTTACATATACATGTTGACCCGAAAAGTATGCATGTAATGCCTCTATTTGCTCAGCATACAACTCCTTTAAATTAAATGTAGAGCACACAGTCCGCAAGGCAGTTTCCCAACGGTGAACATCGATATCGTAACTGTGCTTCGACGACGCCATGTTTTCATAACAATCAGTGTAAATTGTAAAATTATTATATAATTTTATATTTGCAAAAATAATTTATTCAAATTATTTAGCGACTAAACGAATCAAAATGCTTGATCTATCGTTGATACGTTTGAACCAATCACGTTCAGTTACTTAAATCCGTGTAAGTGTTACGTCACCGTACACGAAAATGCCCGCAGTTCAGCAGACTGAATTTTCCCCGTTTAATTTCCGGCCCCCTAATTCAGTCTGCGAGCAGGCTAACTTGAGACGTTCTCTGGTTGAAAATATTTATTGTTTACAAGCTTTCGGCTGCCAGACTGCAGCCTTCAACGGGTAGATAAAATACAATGACTATAAAGACGATATGGTTAACAATTACAAACCATACGCCTACGCTTATCTATAGTTCGGTGACAAAGAGATAATTATACATAAGCGTAGGCGTATAATTATAGATAAGCGTAGGCGTATATGGTTTGTAATTGTAAACCATATCGTCTTTATAGTCATTGTATTTTATATCTACCCGTTGAAGGCTGCAGTCTGGCAGCCGAAAGCTCGTAAACAATAAATATTTTCAACCAGAGAACGTCTCAAGTAATCATGCAATATGTTCAATCCTGGTCGCACTTCCAGCATATTTAAAATATAAGCTAGTGTATTGATGTAAGTTTAAGAGAACAAATTCTTAATAAAATTTTTGTCATGCAGTAACATTGAACAGATAACTCGTTGCCGGCGATCAAATACACCTTATTCAAACATAATCACCCCCGAGCCGCGTATTTCATAACAATTGGAATGGGTGCATAATAATCCGCGTTATAAGTGAGTATTCATGGTCATATCTCCATATAATTTTTTTTAGAATATTTTTCTCATTTTAAGTAAAATAATGAACATAGCAAGAACTTTTGATAGCCGATCATTCTTACTTAAAACGATTTTACTTATTTGGAGTAAAATTGATTCTTGATAAGAATATTTTTACTCGCTTTTCCTGCTTTAAGTAAATTTTTACTTAAATTAAGAATTTTGCAAGAATTTTTTTCTAGGTAACTCGGAATTCTCGATTTTGCTGTGTGTTAATCACGCATCTGTCTAGGGAAATCTTGATTAATTAGTTTTACTATAAGCAGGAAGCACAAATCGTGTCACTAGTAGAAGTCTTGAAAATGTTGAGGAGGAGCTTTTTCTTAAAATGGTGACTATAAACTCCCCTGCGCATGCATTAGGCATCGTCGTTTCTATATGCATGGGCGGCAGCACTGCTATATGCTTTGCAGAAAAATTCATTTGCACTCTTTGTGATTTAAAAATTCGGTTTCTATATGGCCGTCTGCAATTGCTATATGCTTTAGTGAAAATACTGTGCACTCTTGCTGCCGGGTTTGAGTGATTAAGTTGTTTTACAGGGCGGAAATTCGGACCTTGCGGATTGCCGGTCATTTGAAATGAAGATTTCGAAATTACCCCACCAATTTATGTTTTGTTTCTTTAGGTTATACCATTGTTACACGGTTGACTATGTAGTTAATTGCTCAAACAAAACTAAATATTTTATTTCCCTCCATATGTTATATAGAGGGAAATAAGAATATTTCTTAATGAATATAGTGACCACCAAGAATTTAGTTAATTTAATATCTCATGTATTAATAAGCGAATAGTAAATGACTTGTGGTACTCATTAAACATCAAAAGTTGTCGTGGCCGTATGCTCACAAAATATATAACGTATAGAATATATAATAACGTATAAATATATAACGTACAGAAATAGCGACATTGCATGCAGCTTTAGCTTTGCGAAGAAAATATGGCGATGGTGCATGCAATCAACAAAGTGATCAGTTTAAAATTTTATGCTATGAGATTTCATAGCCCTAGCCGTTTTAATAGCGATTATATGTCTTATGGAAACATTTCCTCGCATGGACAGTTGTTTTATCGCAACCTGTCAAGATAACTTATAAAATTAATGTGCCGAAATTTTCCGTGCATGTTTGAAATATGTAGTTTGTAGTGCCTCGCGCGCACTGTATCATAATGTGTGCACTAGGCGAATATCCCTTCGAATATCCGAGCTTATATTTTATCAAATATTTTATTTAAATATTACTTCGCAATACATTACTGGGATTGAAATTAAATGTGGATTTTCACGTGTATATAAATATATATATAGGTGTGAATATTTAGAATAGTTGAAACTTTAATAAACACTTGAATGAATCCCTGCCAAATGAAACGAATGTCAAGACAAACATATAGTATTTACATCAAATTTATTTTTGACAGCACGAAAACACGTTTCTACGCTAGTTCACATACAAACGAACATTGCGTATGTGATATTCTGTATAAATGTCTGGTTATCATCTGTAAACAACTCGATCCTAGCTTGCACTAATTAATTTAATCGTTTGTGCGTCAAACGGTATAAGCAAAGTGTACAATGGAATCTCAGTTTAGCATAAAATATGTATCCAGTAGCTGAAACTCAACCAAATTGAGTTGAAACTCAACCAAATCTGACCGATGACATTGCCTACGATGTTATATAAGGCAGGCGATTTAATATGTCACTCTTCGTTTACAGTCAGGCCTGGTTAACAGCCGTATTAATAAAACGGATGCATATTTACGTCTATGTTTACGGCTTTAATCACTCATACATTGATTATGCATGTCTATGGAGGCTGAAGGCTTTCTAATGTTTAACTCGAATCTTGCCGCAAAACGCAAATGTATATATGCATATAAAGTACAAAATAATGTGATTTAGGTAGTATATATATATATATATATATATATATATAGAGCTAATAATTTATTTTGCGTCAATCATATCACGCGCATCAAGCCTTCAGACTAATTCGTTAAAACAGTTCATAAACGTAAATCGTTCGAACGCTTCTGATTGAACGTTTATTTTTTCGTTCGTATTCTCGACTTAAAACGTTCAGATTTTTAGCTAAATTTGTCAAAACGTTTTTTAGATTCGTTGAAACATTATGACAGATCGTTCTCTAACCGTTCGTTATCCGTTCGCTTTGCCGTTTCAACGAAATATCGTTAACATATGTTTTCCCGTGGAATTAAGGTCACATTATTAGAATGACTGAATCTCTTGAAATGATAAAATGGCTTGTGATATAGTGACATGCATGTCACATCAACATTAATTGTCGCTTTTTCTAAATAGAACCACCACAAGAAGCCGAAAATCAAAATTTGTTTCTTTCAAAATTTCTTTAAGTTGTCCAACTATCTGTACAACATTTTTTCAAGTTAGAATCAAACAATGATATTAATTAATGCATTATGACGCATTTAAAAATAGATATGTAAGGGCGGCTTCTTTGGTATATGATATTGGATGTAGAGGGAAAATATATTTACGCATGTCATTACAGTTGTGAGCAAGGTTTCATGCAGTTATAAGCAATCGATAAGAGCGCCTTTCCCGTTAGAAAAATTGATTTTGCACAGATGTGCATGACATATTACAATAAAGAGAACTGAAGAGAATACATCATTTCATCATCGTAATTTATGCCTGTCTGTCAATCAACGTGTACATAAATAGTTCGGAAATTTTTCCTACTTTATAATAAATTTATTTCAATAAAATGCCCGATTCCTCGAGATAGAGTAATGTAGCTACTGCAAGGAAACTTTAGATCAGAATAGCAGTCTACAAAATACCGCCACCAGAAACGTATTACTCTTCATGCACTTATACGTCGGAATTGAATTTATAAATAAAATAAAATATATTTGCGCATGTCATTACAGTTGTGAGCAAGGTTACAGCTATAAGCAATCGATTAGAGCATCTTTCCCGTTAGAAAAATTTATTTTGCACAGATGTGTATAACATGTTACATTTAAGAGAACTGAAGAGAATACATTATTTCATTATTGTAATTTATGCCTGTCTGTCAATCAACGTGTACAGAAATAGTTCGGAAATTCTTATTACTTTATTATGAATTTATTTCAATAAAATACCCGATTCCTCGAGATAGAGTAATGTACTGCAAGAAAACTTTAGATCAGAGTAGCAGTCTACAATATACCGCCACCAGAAGCGTATTACTCTTCATGCACTTATACGTCGGAAATGAATTTATAAATAAAATAAAATAGAATATATTTACGCATGTCATTACAGTTGTGAGCAAGGTCACAGCTATAAGCAATCGATTAGAGCATCTTTCCCGTTAGAAAAATTGATTTTGCGCAGATGTGATGTATTATAATAATAAAGAGAACTGAATAGAATATTTTCATCATTGTAACTTATGCCTGTCAATCAACGCGTACATAAATAGTTTGAAATTTTTGATTTATTGACATGACACTTAGAACTTTCTAAATTAAGTATTGTCGATGGAAGGCGTGTCGGTCGTGTCGATAGGTCAGGTACACTCTTCATCATATTAAAGACACGCCGTTGAAGTTACAAGATATATGCTCAATTAATGCGGCGCCATCAGGTTTGTGCAGTCGAAAAAAATACCGCCTTTTCCACCAAGCCACGAGTGTTGATCGAACTGCTCATAAAGAGCCGTCCTATTTTCTAAATTGTTAAATATATGAATAATAACCGATTGAATTGCTTGCTTCCAGGCTTTAATGACGACTTTAAAGATAGACGGAAGGCGTGTCGACAAGTCGAGTACACTTTTGATGCACAGATCAATGACACTTCAATAATATTGTTGACGAAGATGCCTTCATGCAATGTCACCAGTAACGATGAGTCTTACTGACCGATATTTTTAAACATAAAGTGCATAGAATGACCGAATCTCTTGCCGGATAAAACGGCTTGTGATGCAGTGACATGTCTCATCAACATTGTTCCTTTTTCTAAGTAGAACCGCCACAAGCAAATGAAAATCAAAATTTGTTTCTTTCCAAATTTCTTCAAGTTGTCCAACTATCCGTACTACATTTTTTCAAGTTAGAATCAAAGAATGGTATTAATGCATTATGACGGGTTTGAATAGATCTGTAAGGGCGGCTT